TGATTTGATCTCATTTGAGTTCATATTTAAAATTTAAATATTCCAATTTCTTTACATGTAACAACAGTTCAAGTGTTGAAAAGATTACTGTTGGTTTTTACATGTCGATGACAATTTTTCCAAATGTTTTTTATCTACTTTCTTGCTGTAATAAACCATCTTATAAGAAAAATTTTGACATTTTTAAGTAGGTCAAAATTTAACAATGATTCAGTATTCATTTTCTTCCAAATTATTATTTATTTGCTACAAGTAAATAAATCAGAGATGAGACTGTAAACAGACTATTTGAAAGTTAATGCCATTGTATTTAGTAAATTCCTGATATTTAAAATATTTCCTTATTGCTTCTAGAAGGTTCATTTCTACTTTACAAAATTCAATTGGTAGATAAGGTTCCAAGTACACATATGTATTTACTATAAAATAATTATATCTTTTAAAAAGCACAGTTCATATTGATTCTTTTATTTTTCAAATGTAGTGTTTTACTACTTATGCTATTAATTTTTTATTGTTTTTCATTATATAATTTTAAAATGTTGCTTAAAAAGTTATATTTTTTTCTTTGAAGGATCCTGCTGTAGCTGATTGATTTATAAGGTAAAAACAATAAAATTAAAGGAACTAAAACCCCTAACTTGAAATAAAATATACTTTTATGTGTGCATATGCTTTTAGTTCTGCTTCCATTTTATAAAAGATATCCAAAGATTCCAAAGATTGTACAAGTTAATAAACCTTCTGTGTCTTTCTTTAACAAACGAAAAAATTGGCTACTTAACTCCTAGCTTCAAAATACAAATGATCATCTACATCATCAGTCATCGATGGATTTGCTATTTGGAGTAAATACTAAGGAATGTTCTGTTAAAAGCATGGCTTTCAGCTGCATATTTTGGATGCTAACTTTATCGGAAACTGTACCATGAATATAATTTCTTTTTCTTTCTCTTCCTCTTACTCCCTCTGTTAGATTCACTCCCGAATGTCCAGCAGCTAACAGTATTAGTCAAATAAAAGCATTCACTAAATATTTGTTCATTCATTCAACATGTTACAGAAGATGGGTTTAGAAATACTATCTTTTATTTTCATTGTTGAAAAGGGTTCAGATGATGTAGCTGAACGAACTTGTGGTTAAAATTCTGAGGATATTTTTTCTTCTTTTTTATCATAGACAGATGATAATTAAAGAACAAAAAATTAAATATAAGTTGTTAATATGGCACAATGAAAATAAATTTAATGTGTTTAAATTTAGTTAATGCCATAGCTAAGTCTGAGTATTGGGGGGAGGAGGGAATATAATATATCTTCAATATAGTTTGTCTTTTTTCCTCCTAAAACAGGGCTGCACTGCACACAACTAAAATGTTAACTTTTTGTAGCTTTGTCTTTAGAAGAATGTTTAAGCTTATAATGTTTCCACATTTTTACTTAGCTAAAATATCATTTACTTTTCTATGCAGTGCAAAATTATTAAAGATTTAATATGAGCAATAGCTGTCCCCTATTTTATTCAAGAAAATTTCAAAGAACGTTTGTTTGATTTGTAACCAAGACATTATTAGAAAAATTTATATTATAATTAAAAGCGATACTTAAATACAGGAAATAATTTCCATAATCCCATCCACATACTAAAATCAACTAATCTATACTTGGCACTTTAAATATTTTAAAATTTAATCATTATAAATAGACTGTGAAAGTTTTATTCCAATATTATAAATGAAAAATTGAGATTCAGAATATTTA